GGCCCTTCACACTGGGTTTTTGCCTTTTAGCATGCCATGTAAAAAATTTTTTTTGTTGAAATCTGGCCATGATATAGTAGGCAAAAGGAAATGTGGTTGCTAGATCTTTAATGCTATAGTGGTTAGATGTGGGAGGGAAGGGGTGTGTTCTCTGATTAAGTCTCAGTCCCTCAGTGAACCTGTGTCCATGGCTGTGAACTTCACCAGGGCATCTTAGTTGTGTATTTTCCTTCCTCCAGGTAAGGTAGGATAAAAGAGTTTCTCCTGAGAGCAGGCCTCCATAAGAAGAAAAGAATCTAGCGCAGTAAGGCTCAATGGGAACCTGAGGAAAGAGTGCTTAAGCTTAACTGGGAGAACTAGGGAAGGATTTATAGAGGAGGTAAAACTTAAGCTGAATCTTGAAGGAAGAGAAGGAGTTTTCCAGGCCTACAAAGTTGTAGGGAAGAGGAGTCCAGGCAGCTGGAAAAATATGTGCAGAAGCCCAGAGGTATGCTCTAAGCCTTTAAGTCCAACCAAATCACATATTCATTGCTTGAACTTACAGTTCAAATTTATCCTCAAAATGATATATTTTTTTGAGGATGACATAAAGGGGTATTTTTGTTTATAAAATGTCTCCTGATTCTTAGTTTAAATTCCCAGAGAAATTACCCTCCATGTTACTCAGTTTTTCCATAGAATTCTGTCTGTTGTATAAATTCTCTCTACCTCTCTAGTAGACATTTATGTTCTCACTGTTTAGTGGTCAGCTGAGAGGGAGGAGGGGTGATAAATAGAAACCAATGAAGATACCTTGTGTCTGACACATCATTCTGGTGACCTAGGGAGTCATTCCAATGAACCAGCCAAGAAGGTAATGTGCTTCGAGTAAAATCAGTGAAATGAATAGACAGTGAGTCCATACTGCCAATAGGGGTAAATTCTAATCCAAGTTACATCAGATCTATTATGAATTTTGGAGAAAGTCAAATCTTTAGACCATTATATTCAGGAAACCTAATCATCTGTAGTCAGAACCAGCTGCCGTAGCCCATAATATGTCATGTCCTATATAACACTTCAGAAATTGTTGCAACTGTATCCAATCATTCTGTTCTTCCTTTCCAGGGCAAAAATAATTTCTTTTTTTTTCAATAGAGAAGGAAACAGTCTATGGGATTCTGGCTTGGGATGCTGTCTTCTAATGACAAAATACAACGTGTAAGAGGTTTAGCTGGTTTTGAATACAAGCCATCATTATTTCTCTAGGTTTAAAGTGTAACCGATTCCACAAAGGAGGCCAATATAACTAGCTTATCATCATATGAGACTTATAATCTTGGTCCCAATCACGAAATGTCTCCAGGAAAATAAGTAATGATTTCATCCACCATCGATATACTTTCCAACTAGAGATCTCTAATCCAGGTCTTTGTCCTGAGCTGTATGTGTACATATATCCAATTGCCAAGTGAAATAGCTCAGGGGCAATGCAAGTTCAGTCTGTTCGAGACTGCATTAGTTTTCTTGCTCAAAATCTTGCTTCTGCTATTGTGGCTTCTCTCCTTGAGCAATGGAATTGGGGTTAATTTCTCCTGCCTAGAAACCTGGGAGACATTGTAGGCATCTTCCTCATCTTTCATTTACACTGCATCATCAAGTCTAGATTGAGCCTTCTAAGTATCTCTCCATTCCTTCTTCCAGCATTTTAATTCAATCTTCTTAATTTCTCTTATGAGTTCCTAAGGTAGATTTAGAAACGCATACATGGATTTATGACTTCTAATCTTTCTCATTTATAATTCCCTCCACAATGTACCCAGATGGATATTTAAAAAATGAATGTCTAATCAAGGTAGTCTATCACTTGAACATCTTTAAATGGCTCCTCATCGCTTTCAGGATTAAATATCAACTCTTTAGTGCAACACATATTTCAACATTCTTAACTTGGCTCCCATATCTGTCTCTAGCCTTGTATATGTCTTCTCACCTTAATCCATCCTCTCCCTCTTCAGCCTCTTATACCTAATAATAGTTAACATCAATTAGGCACTCACTGTAAGCTAGGAACTATGCTAAAAGCTTAAAGTCAGTGTTTTCCAAAGTTCTCTGAAGATACGCATCACCTGAGGTGTTTGCTAAAAATCTAATTCCTGGTCCCTGTTCCAGACCCATTGAGTTAAAATCATGAGGGAATGACTCTGGGAAGTTGAAATAAACACACACACACACACACACACACACACACACACACACACCATTATGGTGACTCTTACCATTAGAGACATTTGGGAAAACAATGCTTTACGTAAGCTTTTATTTAAACCTCATAAAAATGAATGAGATAAGAACTGTTGTTAGTCTCATTTATAGATAGAAAAACTGAGGCTTAAGGAAAGAGGTAATTTGTCCAAAGACACATAGTTAACTGATTGTCATTATTATGATTTGAACCGAGGCATCCAATTCCAGAGTTTACACCGCTGTTAAATTCTACTTTCTCACATGTGTATTAACACATGTACTGTGTGCACTCTCAATTCTCTATGCTTCTTCTGCTCTTTGAGTTGGGAAGTTTTCCCAACTTTGTCTAGAAAACTGCTATCAATCCTTATTCAACTCAGTTGAAGACTTCATTACCTCCCCAGTCTGGGTGGTTACTTCCCCATGAACCATTCTGTTATTTTGTTGACATAATATATCATCATTTATATCCTTGCCTGTTCTCCTCCAGACTAGAAGCAGGCACATCTCCAGTCTTTCTATGCCCTTGGTCTAGCAGAGATCCTGACATATCCAAGTTATTTGATAAATACTTTCTGAATGAATAAAGTATAATAACTCACTTTAGCGTGGCAAGTGCTTGGGGTTTAGATGCGGTGAGTTGATGGGGTTAGGCTCACTCCAGAGAATTACTTGTTTTGGGGTATTAAATGCTGCCTCTTAGAAACAGGCCGTGTCCTTTTGAACTCACTTGGCTTTTCATTCCAGGGTTGATGTTAGGAGAGATGGGATTGAGAAACCAACCCATTCATTTTGAAGTTGAAAGGAATCAAATGTGTGATATACTTTGGTAGCTCCAATAGAAAAAGAGAATGAAAGCCCCAGAAAGGGGCAGTGTTATAAGGGGAAGGGATGACAGAGCTGGCAATGTGAACTCTGGATATAGAAGGCTCAATGTCAGAGTTCAGAGAATTAGAAAGGTATGCTGACATGGGCTTGGGGCACTCTCAACCCAGACTCCCAGTGCTATGGGTGCACTAAGAGTGCAAAGCAAAAGTTAAAACATAGTTGGACATAGTGTTCTCACTTGGTCTTAAGGAAACAGGGAGAACTCTAGAATGGTGTCAGTGAGTAAGACTTTTAATACAGGAGGCGTGGCGAGGGCCCAAAATGTATTGACTAAGGGTCTACCTATTTCCAGGATTTTAGCAAAAAGTAATGCTCAGGCTGCCCTTTTGGCAGGGGTACGAAAGGAACAGGGCTCACAGGAGTGGGATTTCCATGGCTGCCAGTGACTCCTGTGTTCCACTATTGGGGATGAGGCAGTGGCCACGGAGGAAGCCAAGACCATCAGGTGAAGCTTTCCAGAAGTTCACAGACACCATGTTCATTTATGAGGGTTACAAATGTCTTGGGTATACCTTTCCCAGTTATGAGTTGAAGGCAAGAAATGAGGAGAGCTGGCTTATGGACAGGTGTAAGCTATCCTGGCAGGTTTTGAAATATTTATTTGTGGCACGAGAAACTTAGGCAGCCTAGATTTTCTCTTAATGTGCATGCTTGGGTATGGTGTCATAACTTATGTTTAAAGGAAATGTTGAAATCACCAGGTCTAGAAGATGTGGAAATTTGGGTAATAGAATTCTTTTTTTTTTTTTTTTTTTAATATTTTTATTGATTTTGTACAGAGAGGAAGGGAGAGAGATAGAGAGTTAGAAACATTGATGAGATAGTCATAGATCAGCTGCCTCTTGCACACCCCCTACAGCTGCCTCTTGCCCACAACCAAGGTACATGCCCTTGACCGGAATCGATCCCGGGACCCTAGAGCATCAGTCCCCAAGCCGATGCTCTACCCATTGAGCCAAACCAGTTTTGGCTGGGTAATAGAATTCTTTAACAAAACTGAGTAAAACAAGGTCAACCAAAGGACTTGTATGCATGCATATAAGCATAACCAATGGACACAGACACTAGAGAGAGGGTATGAAGGGTAATGGGGGGATAAGGACACATATGTAATACCTTAATCAACAAAGAAAAAAAGTAAAAAAAAAACCCTAAAAAACAAATAAACAAAAAAAAAACCAAGAAAGGTATCATGTGTGTGTGTGTGTGTGTGTGTGTGTGTGTGTATGTGTGTGTGTGGTACTTGTATGCATACATGCATATATGCATAGCTCAAGGGCACAGACAACAGTTTGATGAAGGTCTGGGGGGAGGAAGGAAGTGGAGGGAAAATAAGCAACATCTGTAATAATATCAACAATAAAAAATAAACTTACACAAAGTGGAAAAAAAAACCCCAAATCTTTGAAAATATGAACCTTTTCTCAAGTAAAGACCATCATATGCAGTTATAAAAAAAATGAGACCATATAGGCAATAGAGCAAAACCACATTTTATATGAGACATGTTTTATTTAAAACAAGCTTTATTTGAAACAAAGGCTTTCTTTAGAAAAGGTGTTATTTGAAGAAAGGTTTTATTTGGTACAACACTATTTGTAGGCATTCTGGAGACTCATTTATGGGCAACAGAAATTAGATAGCACATGCGCTACACCAGAAGGGATGCTATGTTGGGAAAAGAGAGAACACAGCTGCAAACATCTAAAGAGTTGGCATTGAGGATGATTACAAAGAAAAGAAAATTCTCATGAGAAAGGTGACACGTTCAATGCCAAGGAAATTAATATGTAAATGACATGGGTCAGGTCCATGAAGACCAATATCCCTAGCATAGCTGACCAGATACACTCACTGGAATCTTTCTGAGATCACAGGCAGGAGATTCAGTTTCTGTTCTGGACACTCCGCCTTAAGATGCGAAGCCTTGACATGACCACATCCCAGTCGGCGTAAGCTCCTTCTAGATGGCGGGATATCTCAGTCCCAGCTTCGTAGCTGCGGCGGCCATGCAGTAAGCGCCAGTTATCAAAAGTAATCACATCACCTGGACAAAAGATTTCTCCATATGAATAATCACGTCTTTAATGTTTGCAGAGCTAGAAAATGCAAAATATCTTTGCTGCTTAGCTCACATCAAGAAACAATATGTTTACTTCTTTACATAAAACCCATGCATTCACTTTGCACCCAAATCAGGCCACGAGGTGCAAACAGCTTTAGACATTTTGACATTTAAACTACACAGCCTGGCCGGCTCCTGTGGGCACTTATATTGTTCTTACTTAAAAGGTCATCTTTGTGTAAAATGTTTGAGTTGTTCTTCCTGACTGTTATTTATCTCTTACTTAGAAATGTTTATTTCCAGTGTAATAGCAAAAATAATTATAAAGATAATAACCTTCTTGGTTTGTCTTCTATGTTTGTGGTATTTTATGCACATTATTTCTAAACCTTGTAAAAATCCTAAAAAAAGAGAGCATTATCTCATCTTTTCATACATAAAGAAACTGCGGCTTCGAGAAGTTGAGGGATTTGCCTGAAGCTACGGTGCCATTAAATGGTAAAGCTTGGATTCTAGCTCCTATTTATTTTGTATTTTTCTCTCATGGTATTTCCATTTTACTTTACTACTTTAAAAAATCAGCCTGTGTGACTGCATAGCAGTGGGTTTATGAAGATTCCTAGTATTACTTTATTATACCATGATCAATTAAAAATAATCATAAGTGAATAAAAGTCTTCTACATGGTCAAATCAGTGGCAGAGAGAAATTATGCTTTTTATTTGAAGCCTTCAGTTTGATGTTGTTTTACTGAGTCAAGATGGTCCAGGAAAAACACAGTGCTTTCTGTTTACTTACTTATTTATTTATTTGTTTGTTTATTTGTTGTTTATTTATTAAAACTTTTTTTGAGAGAGAGAAAGGGAGAGGGATATAGAGATAGAAACATCATAGATCAGCTTCCTTCCACATGCCCATTACTGGAGACAGAGCCCACAACCAGGACATGTGCCCTGACAGAGAATTAAATCTTGGTTCAAAGGTCCACACTCTACCACTGAGCCATATGGCCCACCAAAATAAAGCAGTTCTTGAAAGTTTTCTAGCTACTTGAAATAAAGGAGCAGAGCAGGCTGTTGGGGCTCATTGGCTGAGCATTGATCCATTAATCAAGAGGTCACTGGTTTGATTCTTAGTCCTGGCACATGCCAAGTTGTGGGCTCAATCCCCAGTAGGGGGTATGCAAGAGGCAGCTGATCAATGATTCTCTGTTATCATTGATGTTTCTATTTCTCCCTCTCCCTTCCTCTCTGAAATAAATAAAAAAAAACATTTTTTATTTCTGGTAACACTATGTCGACCAGATCAGATAAGTTTAAAATCTCATGTCTGATGTCAAGATTGATGACTTATATTTTCTACCCTGATAACCAATCAATATAAACTGAAGCTTGTACTTAATTCTTCTATCCTGGTAGATATCAAATTATTTTCATGGTTCTCACTCTAAACTATAGGAGTAATGTTTGTTCAAATACTCCTATAGTTTAGAGTGAGAACCATGAAAATAATTTGATGTTTGTTCAACACATTACTCCTATAGTTTAGAGTGAGAACCATGAAAATAATTTGATGTTTGTTCAACACATTACTCCTATAGTTTAGAGTGAGAACCATGAAAATAATTTGATATCTACCAGGATAGAAGAATTAAGTACAAGCTTCAGTTTATATTGATTGGTTATCAGGGTAGAAAATATAAGTCATCAGTCTTGACATCAGACATGAGATTTCCTTAGGTCTATAGCTTATCTTTCAGGTATTTATTCTTTGGTTGGCGTTATTAAATTTTGTTGTGCTTAAGAAATACATAGACACTTGTTTAAAATGAATACTTTTAAAGCCCGAAGAGTCAACAGAGTGGAAGTGGGGTCTGGGAGTGTGCTCTTTCAGCAAGCTGGCTGCTCCTCAAGATTCTACTGTCAGGGTTCCACTTTCAGTGCTTGAGCAAAAACAGCTCTCTATTGCTCTAAATGGTTAAGGATGGAGAAATATATCCTTTCAGTTGTTTGAGAAAACATGTTCACTGACCTGGATTCATCTTAAAAGTGAACTTGGATTCTTTACAGTTCATGAGGTCCACAAACTCTTTCAGAGCAGCATAAAAAGGCTGAACCTTTTCAACAGGCACATCGAATATCGTGTCTCTCGTTGCATTATTGAAGTTGATTCGAATCACTTGGCCTTTATCATCTAATCTGTTTTTTTTTTGAAAGAGAAAAAGTTAATTATATAAGTCACAAAGTATCCATTTACATTTATAAGAGTCAGTTTGTCTTGAAAGATGTTTCTGAAACACAGTATTGAAGAATCCAAGCACATGTACAGAAAAAGTTAATGTTATCTGTGGTACAATGTATTTATTTATTTTTTTCACTTAGAGAGTAGTTTTGAAATCTTACCCCCTAAGCGCCAAATGATTCAAATTGATTTAAAATAAACATTATCAAAGACTATCATTATAAAGTTTTTACGTTTTAGAGAAACAAATTCATTCGTCATTCTTTAAAACAGTAGCTTTTACATTACTAAAGTATTTTTATGTTATACTTTAGAAATTGAGCTTTTAAGTATAATATTATTGGCACATTATAGGAAAGAAAGACTTTTTTTTTTTTTAAAGTTTGAAACAACCTAACTCAATCCCTAGTTTACAGATGAGGAAACCAAGGGACAGAGGAAAGGAGAGACTAGCCTAAGGTACATCTTTGAAACTTTCTACCTGGGGCACTCTTTGTGCCACCCTCCATGTTACTGACAAGGATGCCATGACTTTAACTTCTTGGAGATCTTTTATTTTAGCCATTCTGGTGATAAGATCTTTTTGAAAAATATATTTTTATTGATTTCAGAGAGGAAGGAAGAGGGAGGGAGAGATAGAAACATCAATGATGAGAGAGAATAATTGATTGGCTGCCTCCTTCATGCTCCACACTGGGGATAGAGACTGCAACCCAGGCATGTGCTCTGACTGGGAATCAAACCATGACCTCCTGGTTCATAGGTGGACACTCAACCACTGAGCCATGCCGGCCAGGCTATTCTTTTCTTTCATGCCATAATTCCTTGATGGGAATGTGTATGGTAATTATCAGCTCTCTCTTTTAGAGTGAAAGGAACCTTGTGATTCATTAATCAAATGCAATAATAATTGTTTATCTCATATTATATTGTGCTTAAGCTTTAGTTTCTGAGAGTTCATATACATAAGCAAAAATAATCAGTTTTCTCTCTCTGTGTGTATGTGTGTGTGTAACGCAATCTCTGTTTCCTTTCACCTATTGTTTATTCTCTATCTGAGAAAACAAGACACATTTATTATTTAGCATTCTCAGCAATGACATGAGGGGAAATAGAAAGCAAATTAGTGATAAGGTCTATAGAAGACATTGTTTTGTTGATTGAAAAATGTTAGAGGAGATGAATAGTTGGCATCTTGAAAAGCTGCCTATAACCTTATAACAAAAAATACTTAAATATATAAAAGCTTTGTAAGAAGGAAATCATGTGTACAATAACAGAATAAAAGGAAGGTTTCAGTACAGAGTTACATACTAAGAAAAGGTAAAAGTCTCCCCAAAATTTGGAATGATTGGCTATATATTAACTATACAAAGATAAGAATTTAAATATAAACTAGCCCCATGGTATCTATAAACCAGCAAGAGATCATCAGTGATGCTGACAACAGAACACAGTGAAAGGACTGTAGCCTCACATCCTACAATCTGCTGGTGCTGTGACTCCTCCTCACTACTTACAACATTATGTCTCATTGAGAGAGAATGATGCTTGATAGGACTTCTTGAATTTATTGAGGAAATGGCACTATGGTGCTGTCCACTACATCCCATTTTATGAGAATAGGCAATGAAAATTTACTTCAGATTAGAAGTGTCTTGTATCTTGCAAATTAAATATATTCCCTTCTTTCTTTGGTCTCTAGACCCAACTTGAAGCTGAAAGCTATTCTCAATATATGTGTTGAACTTCATGGAAATTTTAGCTAGCTAAAATTTGTTTTGCCCTTTCTGAGTGAGAAGAGGACATTCATTGATTATCTCTATTCATTCTTACTTCAATAGTATGTGGTAGTTATTAAATGACTCTCCTTTTACTGGCTCTCTTTTTACCATGGGTTAGCCAGCATAAGCCACTTGACCAAAACTGTAAAACTAGGGAAGGAATTTTCTTTAGGTGATTGAATTTGAAACCACTAAGAAGCATTGCTATAACTTAATCTCACCATTATTATTTTTTGTCCAAGTTTCTTTATTTGTTTATTTTTTCTTGTACTGTATCTAACTTTGTCAACAGCCTCCAAGTCTTTTTGTACTAGATAAACATCTCAAAATAATTATAGCATGTACAAACAAAGAAAATAAAATAAACCCAAGCACAGAGAGGACCAAGGCTCTTGATTATCTAAAACCCTCATTGTTTCATCTCCTATTGTTAAAAATACATTTTTTTAAGTGAGTTAATGTTAACCATTTGATATTCTCTAGGCATGTTCTGAGACCTTAAAAATGGTCAAATTTTGGAATTTTACTACCAGAAATAACAAAGCCAAATCATGATGTAGATGGTGAACATCCAGGTGATTTCACTCAATAGCTAAGTTTTTGGCCTCTCTTCACTAGCCTTGCAGAATCATTAATCATATTGGGCCACAACAAAATTAGCACTTGTCATAGGTCCCCTATATCCAGTAGATCCCCTCTGATAAGTCTAGTACCCACCTGACAGCAAACACAGTTATTGCCATATTATTAACTATATTATCTGGCAGTAGTTCAGATCCCCATGACTATTTTGTAACTACTTAATCTCTTTACTTTTTTAACCATCTTCCTCAACCCCTCCCATTGACAGCCAGTAATTTATTATCTGATCTATGTGTCTGTTTCTATTTTATTTGTTTATTTTGTTCTACAGATGCCACATACAAGTGAAAATTAGTAATTCTCTGTCTTTCATGGGTTTTTAAGGTTACTTTAGAACAATTAAAACTGTCATGTTAAAACTAGTAATCCAAGAGTTAGTTCTTCTTTTTCCCATCTCTTTGACTGACCTCTCAGAGAATGTTATCTTGAACTAGAGTTTATTTTTGACCTCTGTTTTTCTCTCACATCCTTCATCTACTATGTCAGAAAAATATGCTGTTTTGACCTACAAAATATGTTGCAAAACAAATGTGTCTCCACACTTCCACTGTTACCACTTGGATTACTCATGTTCAAGGCATCCTCTCCTCTAACGTGAAGTCCTACAGTAGCTTTTAAAACTGGTCTTCCTGCGTCAGTCCTTGCTCTTTTCTACATTCCATTCAACCCAGCAGTCAGGATGATGGATTTAAAATGTAAGTAAGTTTGTATAAATGCAAGTGTCCCTCTTTTGGTCAAAATCTTGCAGCAGTTCCTATTTCATTAACAGTGAAAGCCAATGACTTACAATGGCTAGCAAGGCTCTTCATGGACTTTCCCCCATTTGACCTCCTCTCTCTCTCTCTCTCTCTCTCTCTCTCTCTCTCTCTCTCTCTCTCTCTCAAATATGTTTTATTGATTTTTTACAGAGAGGAAGAGAGAAAGATAGTTAGAAACATCGATAAGAGAGAATCATCAATCAGCTGCCTCTTGCACACACCTTACTGGGGATGTGCCTGCAACCAAGGTACATGCTCTTGACTGGAATCGAACCCAGACCTTTTAGTCCACAGACTGACGCTCTATCCACTGAGCCAAACCGGTTTTGGCTGACCTTCTCTCTTAATACTCAGCTTTACCCTGGCCCTTGGCTTTATTGATTGCACCAGACATGCTCCTAGGCCTTCTCAAGCCCTTTGCTCTAGCTGTTTCAGGAAATGCTTACCTTTGAGCAATCTTCCTCATTTCTTTAAATTTTTTCTCAAGTATTGCCTATTCGGTAAAGCTTTCTTTACCACATTATTTAACCATACAAGTTCTATCCTCCCTAAGTATTTGGTCCTACAGATTCTCCTTATCCTGCCCTACCTTTCCTATTTTTCTTGAGTACGTAAAAATGTTTTAACCTTCCTTGTAATTTATTTATTTGTTTTAAAATTTCTAATTCTTCCATTCTCCGCTAGACTGTAAGCACCAGATCTTTGTTTTGTTCACTGATATAGACCAAGCACCAGGAAGAGTGGCTGGCCTCCATAAATATTTGTTAAATGAATAAATGAAGGCTCTATTGTGTCTACCAGGCAACTGAATTAGTACACTTGAAATCTGATTATTAAATGAGTTTACTTTCATATTATTTGGCTATTTCTCCTGAAAAAAGAATATAAACTCAATTCTAAAATTGGAAACACCCCAAAATCCACCAATGGGATTTTATTAAATAAACCATACCCTAGAAACACAGTGTAAAATAATTTTCAAAAGAAAGGATCCATTTTTGGCCTTTTGTTGATACTTAAAAAAATTATGATCAGATATATCTGATGAAAAGAGAACACAAAATGTTCCATGTAGGGAACATATGATTTTTGTTGTCATCAATTTGGGAAGACATTCCGTTTTATTCTCAGTCCATGTGGTTCATATGAGGCTGTCCTTGCCCCAGGAATGAACATGTGACCTAGGAATGGTTAATAAGAATTGTCTGACTTTCTGTCTATGGTGATTGTTTTAAGGATACGCTTGGACACAAATTGGGCAGTGAGTCATTTAGCTTTGGTGTAGCCATTGGGAAATAATTCCTCTGTGCTGTGTTTACCAGCTCTCGGGATAATGAAAACTTGGAACTTCCATTGATTATCTTTGAAAAATGAAGTAAACACAAAGGATGGCAAAGCTAAGAGGTGAAGAAAAAAAGAGATCAATTTCAGATAACACTGTTTTAACTCCTGGATCTATCTCATTATTAGATTCTTCTACTTCTGGTTGAAAATGTTCTGGCTAGCACAATCATATTGATCATAACTAGGTAGAACTTATGTTTTAAAAACTAAGTAAAAATTAAGGGTATATGAAGTCTTAGTTATGTCTCATATTTGATAATTTTTTTTTATGGTGGAAAGATTCTTTTTTTACTGTAATAAAAAGTAGAGCTCTGGCATTACTGTGAAGCTTTCTGTGTTTTAGTTTAGGTTAATGAAGCTTTTGTGTTGTCAGCTATTGTATTGCTGTGAAAAATTTATAAATAACACTTACTCTATAATTTTGTGTTTGGATTGCACAGAGAAATCGCAGTAATCCACTCCAATGTCTGTGAAGTCCACAAAGGTAGAGGACAAAAGTTGGAATGCCCGAGGGTTTTTTTCCTTGAGCTTTTGGCATACGTTAAATCCATCTACAATTTCTGAATCACCCCCGGTGACTGTTTGTTTTATACAGTGCAGAAGCTGAACCTATAAAAAGAAATAGAGAAATAGGTTTTTAAATGATACATACTCACATTTTTGACACTGCATTAAAGAATAGGAAGATATGGATGCACTAAAATCGACAAACCTTTTATATCTCACTTTGGGTTCATCAGACAAAGGGGCTGGAGAGAAAAAGTTGCTCTCCATCAACAATAAAATTTGTTGCAGTTGAAGACATAGACATGGACATACTAATGTTCATGAGAAAACAAAAGGCACAGATAAAATAGGGGCAAGGAGCTAGTAATTCACCTTGGAGTATTTATGCACCTCGCCTTGGCCTTACAAAGAAGGTGGGAACTAATCTGGGTCAAGGAGGGTGAATATGATTTTGAATAGAGTGGAAATTTTAGAATAGAATGGAGAGAGTGAAGCAGGTGGCAACGATGATGATCGGTATGCAAAAACGCACACTTCCCTGGGCATCAAAAAGTTTGGCTGCCGTAGAGGGTCACACCTGGGGATGGTAGATGCAGGTGGAAAGGCTCTTTGGAACCTCATCATGGAGAGTCTTAAATGTCAAATGAAGGGCATATGTTTTGTGCTCAGAAGAGAGTCATTAAAGGCTTTTGCATATGGAGGTAAAGACTGAATTAAACAATCTCAGCCCAGTGGTGTTATATGGTATAAATTATTTAAGATGGGGACTAATGAGAGTGTAATGTAATATTTTATATGGACAAATAAGAAGCTAATGATGGCCCTTGCTGGTTTGGCTCAGTGGATAGAGCATCAACCTGCAGACTGAATGGTTCCAGGTTCAATTTCAGTCAAGGGCATATGCCCGGGTTGCAGGCTTGATCCCTAGAAGGGGGCATACAAGAGGCAACCAATCAATGATTCTCTCTCATCTTTGATGTTTCTATCTATCTCACCCTCTCCCTTTCTCTGAAATCAATAAAAATATTAAAAATAAAGAAGCTAATGATGAAGGCTATGATGATGAATAAACCTAAGAAATATTGGAAATGAAAACCAAAAGAAGAGTATTAGTTATTTTTATTAAGGTTTAAAAGGAAATGTTAAACATTATTTCATTTGTAAAGCAAATCATAGTAAAATTAAAAAAAAAAACTTTCTTCTATTAAGCAGAGTTTGTTTTCTTTGGTTATGTGACTCCTTTTGGTAAGTCAGCATGGGTGGGTTATTTCTAATAACTAAATTTAGACCCTGACTTTGTGCTTAGAGAGACTAACCACATTCAGCTGTGAAAACGTTATTCTTACAGAGTCGAATAAAAAAAAAAAGCACCCAATGTCTGGCAGTTCTTATTGAAAGAAAGAGGCAAATATGATCAAATACCGAGACTTGGGGATAATTACGAGTGGGGAAAGCATCAATTTAGCTCCATAGATTTTCTAGAATAGTGCCATCCATTTAAACTTCCTGTAATGATGAAAATGTAGTGATTAGTCCCACATGGTTACTGTGCATTTGGCATGTGGTTAGTACGACCAAGGAGCTGAATTTTAGATTTTATTTAATCATAACTAATTAAAATTTAAAGTCATTTGTGGCTCATGACTACTGTAGGAAATAGTGCAGGTCTAGACCACAACCCTCCATTCTCCCCAAACTGCGTACATTTTCTCAATGTTTTAAATCTTATGCATACTTGTTCTCAAACGATAGTTGTTTAATTTACATTTATTAAGTCCTCACTCTGGTCCTTAGAATTTTATACTTTCATCTTCATTTTATAAGTGAAGAAGCTGAGACCTAGAGCTGAAAAATTCAGTCAGCTAGTAAAATTCAGCGAACCCATGGTAACATACCATTCAAACTTTGGTCTAGTTGCCTCAAAATCCTCATACATCAACTTCCTTTCCTATAAAGAGAGAAGTCTCTTTATAGCACTCCTAATAATTCAGTATTGTTTGGTGTGTGTCTCTGTGGTTTCTAAATATAAACTTCCATCATAGATTGATGATGCCTTATTTTCTAATGTTAGGAGAAAACTGGTCTAAATTAATAATAATTCAGTCCTTAAGTTTATGCTGTTTTCTCTTAAACTAAACACACACATGTGCCAAAGCTGACTAAGTCATTGCAGAAAACCATCTCATCACTAGGGCAAGGAGGGGTGAAGCAGCATGATTAAAAATAAGATAAAATGAAAATTTCCACTTTAAATATACTAAACTCCAAGAAGACAAAACAATAGCATAACTTTGTCCCTGGGAGAATCAAAATGTTCCTTAAATCCTTTTAGATTTTGCCATAATGAAGTCATAGAATATTTCAAATATAGATCTTTAAAAAAGGTCAACTGATGCCTTTTACATATGGCAAGGCCAACTAATAATCTTCTCTTGTATATTTATATTTTAATGCAATCTTATGAAATAAAAAAGGTGATGAAGCCAGACAATATTTTCACTGCTAAGTCAAGTGGAAAATACTGTATATGTGTGATGTGTATAAAACCCAATTTTATTTCATGTAAGTCATACAGAACCAAAAATATTTTCTTTCTAAATGTTACTTTATGACAACATGTGACTTCTGGTCCAGACAGAGAAGTTGGCAAAGCAACATCTGTGTTTCATTAGAGCCGTGTCTCCTTGTTCCTACCCCATATGATCCAAATTGATCAAATGAAACTCTCGACAGGTAACTTACCCAGATCATTTCATCTGTACTGGAAAAACACGGACTAATTCTGTTTGTTATGAAAACACTGGAACAAATCCCCCTTAATAATTCAAAATGGAAACTTGAACAAATACACAAACAGTGCCTACATTTTAATGATTCCCCTCCTAGAATTTAGACATTTCAGGAACCATCTTTTATTTTAAAAATCTCTCATGGAGACATTAACTTTAGATGTTTCATTTGCTGATGGGAGACAGGCACACTTTTGTGGCATTTCTTTGCCTGTTTATAGCATACCTGTTACTAGTATGTCTCTATTGCAAGGAAAGTTACTGGATTAAGTTTTGAGATATAGAGAAGTCTAAAATTAAATTTCTGTATTTAAAGAGTTTGTCATATATGATAATGTCTATAAATAATCATCACGTTACATAAATTACGAAAAATTTGAAAGTCCAACTCAAGACTCATATTGTGCAGTGAAAGATGGAGGCCCATGTTCAAGTCCAAGTTCCCTATTCATCAGATGTCACCCTGTGAAAGTATTCAGCTTGCTGTGTGTCATTTCCTCATCTGACATAAAAAAGACATGATTTATTCTGTCTACCTTAAAAGAATGTAACAGATAAAATGGTATAAGTAAAAATACTTTGAAAGGGTGTAAAATGCTGTAAAAATGTCAAGCATTGTATTTCAGGAATATTTATGAAGTCATTTAATCACTTTCCCATAGGCTTTCAATTTTAACCTAGAAACAAAACCTAAACTCATAAAAAACAAACAAAAAACCAGCAGATAATTTAAAAATTCAAATAAAAGCTTTCTAGTTTGATTTTTAAAACTTTATTTCATCTAATTTCTCCAACCTATCTTGAGCAGATGAATGGGGCTGATTAGTTTGGTTTTTAACCCCAAGGATTTTAGAAAATTTCCTGCCTCCAAACCTCATCTGAAAATGTGATGAAATGGTCATTTCAATATCATTTAGTTCATAGAAATCATGTGGTATCATTCTCAACAAAATAATTTAAAATATGAAGTCATATTCTAGACTAGCTTAGTTATTGCAGGCTTAGGACAATGAGTAACAAGAAGGGCACAGAGAAAATGTGTTTAGTCAACATGTTGAAAAACAAACAAATTTTGATTTTTTATTCATTTTACCTTCATTAACTAGAGAATTACCCCAAATTTCCACTTCCATTTACCCTGGAAGATATGGATTTCTGTGTAATATTTCATTGTCCTATTTAGCTCTAAAAATAGGAATAAGCCCAGCTGGTATGGCTCTGTGGTTGAGCAATGACCTAGGAACCAAGAAGTTATGGTTTAATTCCCAGTCAGGGCATATGCCTAGGTTGGGGCTAGCTCCCCAGTGTGGGGAGGGCAGTTGGCAGCTATTCAATTATTCTCTCTTATCATTGATGTTTCTATTTCTCACTCCTTTTCTCTCTGAAATCAGTAAAAATATATTTGAAAAAAAGAAACAAATATCTTTTTGAAGGTAATTTCCTGACCATATATTTTTTTTTGGTTTAACAAAATGATGCTTTTGCAAAAATGTAGCTGGTTTATTAAAATGACAGTTTTGGCCCTAACTGGTTTTACTCAGTGGATAGAGTGTTGGTCTGCGGACTGAAGGATCCCAGGTTTGATTCCAGTCAAGAGTTTGTACCTTGACCGAGGGTACATCCACAGTAGGGGGTGTGCAGGATGCAGCTAATGGATGTTTCTCTATCATTGATGTTTCTAACTCTCTATCCCTCTCCCTTCCTCTCTGAAAAAAAATCAATAAAATATATATTTAAAAAATAAAAAATAAAGAATAAAATAAAATGGCGGTTTTGTAATAACATAGGGGAAGAGGATCCTAGATCGTGGCTCTATGCTGAACATCCTCCTTGAAGAGGAAACTGATAGATGGGAGAGTACATGGTTTCCCAAACTAGCCAGGGTTACTCTGCTCCATGCATTTATACCCCCTTTGTAGTCTGTCTTTGCAGCTACTCCCATAAAAGGTGAACTCTACTTCCCCCACTTCTTGAATCTGGGCTAATCTTATGATTTACTTTGACCAAAAAGCATAGCAGAAGTGATGTTATGTTGGTTACTAGCCTAAGTCTTGAGAGGCTTTGTACATTTGGTTTGTTCTTTGGAAACTTTGCCAGCTGCCATGTGCATGAGCCTGAACTAGCCAGCTGGAGGATGATATGATAGAGCAAGTGGACAGGGACAAGCCGGCTCAACCATCACCTAGGTCAACCAGGCCCAGCCAACTCAGCAGCAGCAGCAGCAACAGAACTGCCCAGATGAACGCAGCCCAAACTGTAAAAACATGATCTAAGTGGCTGCTGTTCTTTTAAACTAAGTTATGGAGATGGTGTTTGTTTTTGTGGTTTTAGTGATAGCGAATTAATATGAATGATGGCCGTATGACTTTGTGTGGAAAATCTACATTGTGTTCTTTTTCTTTTCCCTATTTTTTCTTTGAACTCTCTTGTGATTGGTAAGTGTGCAAAAAACACCTCAAGATGTACTGCTGTGGTAAAATGTCTAGGCAAAGCCAAAAGTGCCAATAGTTGCAGGAACAAACAAAACATATTAAGAAATATACATGAGAATCTTTGATCCCTTGGGAATGGGAAGCTATTCAGGATTTAGATACAGAGATATTGAGTTTGGGTTGTATTTGGAGAAAGCATAGGGCAAATTAGCTGTGTATTATGATCATCTAGGCTCCAAATAGGGGATAGTGGTCCTTGGCCTGCCTTGTGGAATGTGGCGAGGCTCACCTTACCCCAGGTGGGTGATGGAGCGCTGGGTAATCAGTGTGAAAGCTGAGCTTCCCAGTTGTGTAAGCCACGTTGTTTGCATCGATTTTGTCTTGCACTTGCCAAGTATGTCTGTAAAATACAAGAAACATATGTTTAAACTGGCTGTAACTGAGCCAGAGAAAATGTGCTAAAATGAACTTGATACATGGGGGGAATGGAAACTTTTCATTTTATGAAATAATTCCCATAATGATGATGAGCCAAGGAAGATGAGTCTGACCTTTTTTTGTCTAAAGTAATCACTTCAAATTAGCATCTTCTCACTGCTCTTCTCTCCAAAAGAGAGTAAATTCATCTATTTGACAGAGTTTATAAAGAGGTGTATGTGGAATTTAGGTTGTTTTTAATAGCTTCATGCCTTTCTAGAAATGATTTATTGAGGTGAAGTTGATATAACATAAGCCATTTTAAAATGAATAATTTAGTGGCATGTTATACCTTTATAATGTTGGTAACTGCCATCTCTATCTATCTGGTTTCAAAAACATTCCCATTATTCTAAAACCTCTTACCCATTAAGTTTCTTTCCATTCTACAGTCATAATTCAACATCTTCCCCTCTCCTCTGTGTTTCTGAAAAAATGCAGAAGCTTGGACAGACTCTATTTTCTTTATTTGCAAAACTATAGATAACATTATCTTCTTTTGTGACAAGACAATATCTAGGTGTCTTTCTGTTTGTAATGTTTTTTCACTTTTAACTTTTCTCTCAACTACTATTTGGTTTCCCCATATAATAGCTTATGTGGGGATGATAAGAAAAATGCTTGATTCTTTCTTTTTATTTAATACTAGAGGCCTGGTGCACGGATTCGTGCACTGGTGGGATCTCTCAGATTGGCCTGTGCCCTCTGCAATCCAGAACACCTTGGGAGATGTTGGACTGCTGGTTTTGGTCCAATTCCTTGGTCTGCAGGGATTGGGTTGAAACCAGCAGTCTGACATCTCCTGAGGGATGTAGTCATACATGAAGTGAAGTGGCAGGCGGCCAGGGAGGAGCCTGAGCCCAGGCTGGGTACCACACTGTTCCCGCTCATCCTGACCCCGCTGCATCTGCTTCTGCCACCACAGGTAGCGCTGCTGCAGAGGTGGGAGAGGCCCACACTGCTGCAACTGTGCTCGTCAGCCATGAGCCAGATGTCTGGCACCCATCGGTCAGCTGAGTGGTGCTCATGCTGAGGGAGCATACTGACCAGGGGACAGCTTCTGCATTGAACATCTATCTCCTGGTGTTCAGTGTGCATCATAGCAACTGGCCAACTGGCTATCCAGTTGTTCAGTCACTTAGGCTTTTATATATAAAGATATTGAAATGTAATGAATTAATGTTTTACTACTATAAGGTGAATGATTAATTAAAAAATAACCTTATTGATAAAAATGTATTAAAACTAGATAGAGATAATGGTTTCACAACATTGTCATTTTACTAAATGGCACAGAATTGTATGCTTTAAAATGGTTAAATTTATGTTATGTAAAATTTACTTCCATTACCAAAAAATAGCTTGCCTTAAAAGTTAAAAAAAAAGTTAACAGAACTGGTAATGACTTGCAACCCTGTGACAAGGAAAGACTTTGTAAAGCTTTTCAGAAGATTAAGACAATGGGTAATTGGAAAGAAACTGTGTTTCTACATAAACAGAAGTGTAGTTTGAAAAAAAAAAGTCACTATACATGCACATCATTTTATTGCTGTTATAATATAATGTATATTTATTAACTATGCTCACATTTATGAAATCATTTTTCAATAAATGTATATTGAGTATCTATTCAATTCGAGGCATTGTTTTTCAATAGAGCTAGAGCAGAGAACAAAAAAGTCAAACAAATGACCAAATCTAATATCACACAGAGATAAGTGCTATAAAAAAATAAAGTCAGATAAGAAGGTAAGGACTGGGGGTCAGAGGAATACCACGACAGAGATGATGCTTTAGGAAGTACGCTGGAAAGAGCTGGAGTTTTTCACAGAGATTTGAATGAAGTCAGGGAAGGAGAAGTATGCATTTCTGGGACATTTATTTTAGGCAGAAGAATCTGACAAGAAAAGTTTCTGTTTTCTCTCTATTTTCTGGGGCAGAGAGTAAAACTACCTATTTTTTTTCCTTCTCATTTAAAACTATTTTTATTGATTTTTAGCGAGAGGAAGAGAAAGAAACATCAATGTGAGAATACATTATACATGGGCTGCCTCCAAGGAATCCCACAACTGGGGCATGTGTCCTGACTGGGAATTGAACCAGCAACCTTTTGGTGCACAGGATGATGCCCAACCAACTTAGTCAAATCGGCCAAGTCTTTTTTTTAAATTATATAAATTCTGGATGGAAAGCCTGATGTATCTTTCATATCTTTCAGAAAAGGTTAAAGAGCTCTCCATGTGTGGCCATGTACTGCAAAGAGAGCCAGAAAAAAGTGGAGAAGCATATACACTGAGTGGCCAGATTATTATGACCACCCCATCAGTACTTCGTTGGGCCACCTTTTGCCTTCAATACTGTGGTGATGGTTTTTGGCATTGATTCCACGAGATGTTGAAAGGTGATGTGAAGAATCTGACACCACGCCTGATGAATAGCACTGTCTAGTCCTGTGAGATTTGATGGTTATGGAACCAGCTGCCTGATGGCTCTTTTAACTTGGTCCCACAAATACTCAATTGGATTGAGATCTGGTGATTGTGGGGGCCACCTAAGCAAGGTAAAGTCTCTCATATTCTTGAAACCACTCCTGCACAATATGAGCACCGTGGCATGGCACATTGTCTTGTTGGAAGAAGCCAGCTCCATTGGGATATGCCATCAACATGATAGGGTGAACTTGATCAGCAGTGATACTTAGGTATGTTGTGCTATTTAGACATTGTTCCACATGAATTAAAGGGCCCAAATCATGCCAGGAAAACATGCTCTAAACCATAACACTGCCCCCACCAGCTTGAAGGGTTGTACTCATACATGTAGGGTGCATGCTTTCATGCTGTTTTCATGAAATTCTCACTCTGCCATCTGCATGATGCAACTGGAAACATGATTCATTGGACCACATGACTTTTTTCCAATGTTCAGATGTCAAATCCTTGTGTTCCTGTGCGAACTGGAGACATATTTTCGTAATTTCAGACAGCAAAGGTATTCGAACAGACCTTTGGCTTCCATATCCCATATGATGCAGTGTACAGCTAATTTGCCTACAAACGTCAGGTGGTCATAATAATCTGGCCACTCAGTGTATATCCTGCTGCAATTCATTTCAAGTATGTGTCAAGCAATCCAGTATATGTAGTGACTGTTGCCAAGAAATACATGATCTCTATGAAGTTCATGCCACTCCAAGTAACATATATAATACAAATTCAGAATATACTCAGCATCAGCATCCTACGAATTATCAAGTCATAGGAAGGGATTGGATTTAAGGAGTCAAAAGAACTAAATTCATCACATTGCAGAATATATAATATCCTCTGACTAAGAAGATGATGCTGTTGACACTGTCAGTAGGAAATGATTGCATTCAATTTTTTTTTTCAAAAGTGATGATAGTTTTGCCAAAACCAGTTTGGCTCAGTGGATAGAGCATGGGCCTAAGGACTGAAAGGTCCCAGGTTTGATTCCAGTCAAGGGCATGTACCTTGGTTGTGGGCACATCCCCAGTAGGCTGCTGATCAATGATTCTCTCTCATCGATGTTTTTAACTCTCCACCCTCTCTCTTCCTCTCTGTAAAAATGCAATAAAATATATTTTTTTAAAAAGTGATGATAGTTTTGCATTGATCCACCTCCATTCTCTTTCTTGGTTCCTCCTATGATCAAAGGTCAACTAACAAGTTTTGCTGCAGCCAAGAGCTGGCTGAGAGAGCAGGTGAGAGCTTTTGCCAGGGAACAACTCTCTTCTTTGTTTGACATTAATTGGCTTCTACAAGGAAGGGGGCCGGTGACTTGGCTTCATTGGAGCAGTTCTCCAGCCCTCTGATCTAACTGGCAGGGGATGACAAACATTTTTTTAGCCCTAGAGTATCTTTGGGATGTGTAGTCTACACGTCTGTGCTCATAAATAATGATAAGTCCCAAGAAAGGAGCTTGCCAGTTCCAATCACAGAATAGCCTCCTTATAGTTTTAGCATAAGTCTGGAAAAATCCTGAAAACGTCATCTCATCTACCTTTCCTTGTAGAAATGAATCGTGCCAAGAAGACTGCTGACTGTCTGGGACTCTAGGCTTTCACTTATCCTTCTCATCCAAATCTCCCATGAAACACGGCTGAAACAAATGCAAACACAATCCATAGGCCTGTGTAGAAACTATCATTTAAAAGCCCACTTGTGGAGCTTTCATGAGATGAGGGTGTACTGACATGCATCTCTCACTTGAGACATATTCTAAAGCGTTCCAAGTAAGGCAAAATGCAAGCAGATCATCAAGAATTCCCAGGACTGAAGCAGAGGGGCAGGATTGATCTTTCTGCAACTAAAGAGGTGGGCTCAGCACAGCATCTCCCGCACCCCCTTTAAAAATATTTATTTTTATTGAGAGAGAGATAAAGAGATGTTAATCAGTTTAACAATAACCCACAACCTTGGACCAACTTATTTTTATTGATTTCAGAAGGAAGAGAGAGAAAGAGAGAGCGGGAGAGAGAAGAGAGAGAGAGAGAGAGAGAGAGAGAGAGAGAGAGAGAGAGAGAGAGAGAGAGAGAGAGAGATATCACTAATTGGCTATCTCCTGCATGCCCCACACTGGGAACTGAGCCTGCCACCTGGGTATGTGTCCTGACTGGGAAATGAACTATGACCTGCTGGTTCATAGGTCAATGCTCAACCACTGGGCCACACCGCTGGGTCTCAGCATAGCATTTTTATATAATGATGTAGATGCTCCATATTATACTACAAGTAATCCTGCTTTTGCCAAAGATGCTGTTTTAAGCAAAGCTAAACAAACAAAGATGCTATTTTAAACAAATCACTGAGTTAAAATTACAAGATGTCATTCTCAGCATTTAATTAAAATTTTTGCTCATATTTTTCTCCATTCAAAGATTTTTGTGAATAGTTTCTGTGT